CCATGGGATTCCCCTAGATTCTATAATCTTTTCAAGCTTATTCAAAGATTCTCCGAAGTTCCTCGAAACTTTCCATGAATTCTCTAGAGTTCTATTCGAATTCAGACTCTAAAATTCCCTAGGGAGCCAGGAAGTTTCTAAGAAATTTCCCTAGGTTTTCTATGGCATTGTAGAAGCAATTTGAGATTCCTCACAAAATCCCTAGGATTTCCCTTGATTCGTTCTCGAATTCTATATTCGCCCTGGTATTCCCCTAGATTTTATAAACCCTTCAAGCTTACTGGAAAATTCTGTAAAATTCCCCAAGACTTTTTATAAATTCCTTAGAGTCCTATTAAAATTCTCGGTCTCTAAAATTCCCTAGAGAGCTACTAAGTTTCTAAGAAATTCCCCTAGGTTTACTATAGCATTACAGATTCAATTTGAGATTTCTCACAAACTCCCTAGGATTTCCCTAGATTCATTCTAGAATTCTATGTTTACCCTGTTATTCCCCTAGATTTTATAATTCCCTCAAGATTACCTGAAAATTCTCTCAAATTCCCTAGAGACGTAAAATTCGCATTCAGTCTCGAAAATTCACTACAAAGCCACAAAATTGCTAAGAAATTTCCCTAGATTTCCTATGACATTATAAATTCAATTTGAGATTTCTCACAAACTCCCTAGATTTTCCCTAGATTCGTTCTAAAATTCCATGTTTGCCCTAGTATTCCCCTAGATTCTATAATCCCATCAAATTTATCCGAAGAGTCCCCAAAATTTGTCAAAACTTCCTACAAATTCCCTAGAGTCCAATTAAAATTCTCATTCAGTTTCTCAAATTCCCTAGAGAGCTACAGTTACTAAGAAATTCCCCTAGATTGCATATGATGCCATGGATGCTCTCCGAAATTCTCCACAGACTCCCTAGACCCTGCCTGAAATTAGACGCATAGGATTGGCTACGATTCACCTAGATTTCCAAAGATTCCCCTAAAACAGAATTTTTTTCGAAATTACTTTCGTTCACGTTTACCCTCGACCAAAGAACATACGTCATACCTACGTATACACGTTATCAAAAGTATAGTAATTTCAATTTAATTTAATGGTACTTTAACATGTGACTGCCACGTCACCCGCATATAGGTGACGTTTGAATTTCTGTAGAAATCCATCATTTTCTATTTTATCAAGAATAACTTCCATTTACGTAATTGAAACTGTTCGTGATAGATACTTGAAATTACGTATATTCGGGAATAAACACCATAAAAAAAACGAATATAGTTAATTCACACTTGAAATAACGCCTAATGAAAACTTCAATAGTGAGTGTGAAAGTAAACAATGCAGGGTCATTGCATCAGTAACTGACACTTTCAGTCACAAGGAATTGCTTTCGACTAACAGGGATGGCTTTAACAATTTGTCATTTAAAAGATTGTGGACTCTATGCAATTTTCTGTGTTAACTATCTATGCGCGTTGAAAATTAGATTCTTTATCAATACTAACGAGTTCAATTTGTTTAAGAGCTGACTACTAAATTACTAAAATACGGATATTTTGAAGTATTTAAAACAGGCAATAAATCTTATTAACACTGTTATTTTTTCAATTTTAAGAAATATTTTGTTTTCAAAAAATCATTTAAAAAAAGTCATGAAATACTACAAACTTGTATCATTACATGAAAGCACGACAAAAAAGATTTATATGATTTACATTTAACAAAACATGAATTTTATGGTACATTACTTTATGCAAGTTATTTGTAACGCAAATAGGAAGAGTTAATATCCAGCATTAGAACACGTACAATAACAAAATTTTTTCTTTCGATAATAAAAAAAACTTTAACCCCACAAGAAACGTTATACGAGAAACATACAGGCGATATATCAAATTAAAGGATGCGGGCAGTATAAAAACGTATACAACACCTGGAAGACCGACGAGAAAAAAAGTTGAGAACCGCTATGCGTTTGTTGTATCATCAAGCACAAACGGTACATAATCGTTTTCGTCCAAGATCGTTCGAACTCTCTGACTGCGTTAATTTATAGTATGTACGTGGTGTGATAATTTAAGACGAGTGTAAAAGCGTTTCTGAATTAACGTTGTCGGTCAAAGAAAATTCTTTAGTAGTAGCGTGTGTAGGAGTCCTCGCGTGAGAAAGGAATTGTACGTTAATACTGTGTGCGTATCGTGAGATAAAAAGAGAAAGAGAGAGAGGGAGATACAAATGAATGATATTCTAGAAGCGTCTATCCAAATGGCGGTCAGCCGCGTGACACGTACACTTTAGCAGAATAAATGATTTACATCAGACTATACTGTACCAGGGGTACTTTGATCCATTGACATGCCGTTCGTATGGCAAATCAAACGTTTCCACCAACATGATTCTTTCCCAAACGCGAGAGGTACGCGGGGAACTCGAACAGTCGCGAACCGTACACACTGAACGGTACAACTGAAAATTCCGCAAGCATCTCTTTTTATAAACAAAAATTTCAAATCGCAGCCGTCGGTGCTGCCATCTACCAATATTTCATAACAATTTTCATACTCTCGCGATACGTCAGAAAATTCATTTGCTTTCGCACGTGTATTTCATAAATACAAAAACTGCAGATCCATTTCACACAGACAATTCGCCCCACCAGAATCGTCTTTCGAATGCACACAGTTGTTACGATCTTTCAAAACCGTCATACTACTTAAAAATTAGCATACTGTAATTAACTGGTGAATTATATTTAAGAACTCCACACTGATTCACACATGTGTACACGGTGAGAAATACGAGAAGCACGAAGCATGTAATGTTTCATCGGAAAGGTTGGAGACGTTGCCGAAGGTCAACGTCAAGATACGTTTACACAGTTTTTCACTGGAAAAAGAAACCAACTATAACACCGACCGATTCAAGATTTTCGTACGGAGGATGAATGAAAATTTCATCGAAATTGAAAGATGCATAGGGAGAAGAAAACGAGTAATCAGGCCACTGGCGAGCGGAGGACCGAATAAAAAGAAAGGCGCGTGGTTCGGTGCTAGCGCGGCGTCTCCCGCCATATCACACTAAGTGTCACACACTAGTACACGCATAGAGACGTAGAACGGTTAAACGAACACAACTACGTGCGTATGCGTGGTATTGGTCGCGCGCACGTACGATGGAAACGCATACGGGTACACATACACGCACGCACGCACGAACCCGCGGAATTTTCTCCGATGCGTGTGTGCACGCATGCACCGTGCACACCAGGGGCCGCGCGAGCGACGCACACGGCGTACACTGAGCTCTCTCGGCGGCGCGATCTACGTGAGAAAAACACTCACTAACCTGTCGGAGGCGATTCTCCCTCTGTATTCCTCGGTTCACGGTACTTCTGAGTACCCGTGTATTTTCACCGGCCACACTGCGATCACCAAACTATTCACTCTCTCACACGGCGTTCGAACGATGTGTCTTCGTTTCAGGGGTATACGCGCGGCGCCTTGACTCTGTATTCCGATTCACACGGTTTTCGCGGCGTCCACGGGTGACTTCGAGCCTCCCGTGGAACGATACTCGCTCGGATACGGGCACTGGAGTCACGCGCGCCCGCCCGACGCCCCAGTTATTCACGGAAATCCCTCGATTCGACGAAAAAATTGGTCGACAATGCGCGGAACTACGTTCGCGACTGTCTCCCTCGCTGGAGGAAAATGGCGGCCCCCGGCCATCCGAGTGACTCGCGCGCGCCACCGATACTCTCCGTCACCGGCCGAACATACACGAAGGTAACCGATCATCGACGATTCTCTTTTGCCGAACGGTTAAACATCGGTCGAATTTTTGCAACAATTTTGAAAAAGTATTTATTACAAATTTTTTAGTGAAAATTTGCAGCGTTATTACATGTAATAGTTAATTTTAATATATTATTTTTATATTTGTAACTAATTACATATTTTTTTGTAAAACTAACAACTTCCTGACCGCACGTTTGAACTGTATAATATTTTTAAATATATTGTAACTTTATACATTTTTATAGTGGAATGACTACGTAACAATTTTATATTTAAATACAATTCGAAATCGAAAAGCACGGGAGTAACATATGAACATTAACAAATTATCGAAATGAAACTTTTTTTTATCAAGAATGTATGTATAATTGTTTAAGGATTTACGATGACTAAAATGCACAAATTATCACGAAAATTTGTTCATAAATTTACTTTCATGAAAGTTTTTACTTATATATTATTAGACATTTACACATGTTATATTTTCAAAACGTTAAACCACGTTGACACTGTTGATATTGCTATTCAGTCGCGTTATACTCGTGTTAGGTACTCGATTGTGATTGGCCGAAACTAAAAATTAACCTGCCTAGTGACCAATCAGAAACGTTAATGATCATTGGCAAAAATAAGATGCAGTACATATGTGAAATACTGTTATTAGTATTAAAATGGAAGTACGTTGGTGTTATATATATTTAATTTTTTGGCTGTTTTCAGACCGTGTAAAATAAATTTTATTTCATTATAGCCGATACTTAACTATTTTAGTATACGAATATAGTGACGAATAACCCAGTCACATGATTTGGATTTAGGCATGAATTTAGAAGTGTAGGGATGAAATGTAAACTTCGGTTACAAGCGATGAGAGTGATGCTGACATGAAGGGAGGCCCTAATAGTCGATGCCCAAATTTGACTGGTTATCTTTTTGCGCATGTTCCGTACCGCTAATTATAAGAGCTAGAAACCACCAATTAATATAGACTTTTAAGTTAACACCAAACAAACAACTATTTTTTTACGTAGACACAATATTTAAAAAATGTATACATTCAGAAATTTTAAATTTATATATTTTCAAATTTATTCATTTCAAATTTCCAATTTAGAGTTCTACCAAACAGTAGCTCTCTTTTCCCGCCCTCAAGAATATGCTATCTTGTTTTATCCCGTTCTGTTCCTATTCTTATGCCCATGATTTGAGGATCATCCTCTGTTTCTATAGTTAATGGAGCCATCTACAGTTTTACTATTACACTAACATTTTCATCATGCGTAAACAAAATGATAATTATCTTTGTTAAAATAGTACAAGAGTTTTCATGATTCTTGAAGACAGTCGTGTGTCAAAGTTGTTCTGTTTACTGTCAATGTATATACATATACTGATATCTGGATGAAAAGAGATGGATGACTACGATACATAATTGCAAAGAATATCAGCTACGAAACAATAAACACAATTTTCCTCAAATTTTTAAATATACTTTTATGCGTAGTTTGAGCATAACCAATATGTCAGACGTTAAAAGTCTTGAATACCCCACGTTAAAAGTACGTACTATTTATTTTGCGCATTTAACTTTCTTTTTAATTTTATATGAAATGATTGGCTATCATTAATTTGTATCTTTACAATTTTGTTCAAATTTACAACCTTGCGTACGTTATATTATAATTTCGAAATGTTTCGTTAACATAATTTAAAAAATAACGAATAAAAGTGAATTTGTAAAATATTTAATTTTTAGGTTCCTTATGAACTTTTGAATAAGAAGTTTCGTTTAGCTCAAAAAGTCATAGATCGAGAAGCTTCATATGTTCAAGCAGCAGCAAATGAATTAATGAAAGATAATAAAACTTCTGTCCCTGCTGGAGAAATGAGTATATTATTGGGAGGAGTTGTAGAGAAACTTCAAAATTTAAAAAGAAAGGCACAAGAATCTATTGCAGAAGAATTGCAAGCAGGAATGGTTTGCAAAAGACGGTTAGAACATTTAAAAGAACATGCTAATACTGCTCCAAGTGTTGTAAATCAGTGGCGGCGACAGAGACTTGATAGAATGTTAATAGAATATTTCCTTCGTAAGGGCTATTATAAAACTGCAACTAAATTAGCTGACAGCAGTGAACTTAGAGATTTAACAAATATAGGTATGTTAGTTATTAATTGATATTGATATTTTGCATAAATTTCATATATTTTTTTACATTTTTAGATGTTTTTATGGTATCCAGAGAAGTTGAAACATCTTTAGCAAATCATGAAACTGCAAGATGTGTTGGATGGTGCTATGACAATCGATCTAAGTTAAGAAAATTAGGAAGTACTATGGAATTTAATTTACGTGTACAAGAGTTTGTAGAGTTAGTAAGACAAGATAGGAGGCTAGATGCTGTTAAGCATGCCAGAAGGTGTTTTACAAATTATGATGATTACCAGTTACAAGAAATTCAGTGCTGTATGGGACAGTTAGCATTTCCAGCCAATACATCTCTCAGTCCATATAAGGATTTATTAGATGAAAAGAGGTACATATACTTTTTGTTAAATTATTCTTATATACATTTTTTTCAAACATAACGATTCTTATATTTATGTTTCTCAACTATCATAGGTGGGATAGATTAATCGAACAATTTAGACATGAAAATTATAGACTTTTCCAGTTGGCAAGTCAAAGTGTTTTTACAGTAGCACTACAAGCAGGTTTATCTGCATTAAAAACACCTCAGTGTTATAGTGCAAACAAAGAAGGCAGAAATCCAAACTGTCCAGTGTGTAATGAAGCTCTTAATGAATTGGCAGTTCCATTGCCTTTTGCTCATTGTTCACAGTCTAGACTTGTTTGCAGTATTAGTGGTAAACCATTAAATGAGTATAATCAACCAATGATGATGCCAAATGGATATGTATATGGAGAACAAGTGAGCAAAAACATTTGCATTTATAAGATACAAAAATATTTAAATCGGTATATATTAAATTAACGTTCTGTATGTTATTCTAGGCACTAGAAAAAATGGCTCAGGAAAACAATGGTACTGTAGTTTGTCCAAAAACCAAAGAAGTATTTCCATATAAAAAAATAGAAAAAGTGTATGTTATGTAAAATTTGCTGACTCAGGCACAACTTGTACTATGTATAGTGCATCTTTCTCGTACTCTAACTCGGAATATTTACTGTTTAATATTGTATACCGATATTAACAAAAGAAATAACATCTATTTTTAAGGAAGTATTTTTTGCAAATTTTATTTGTGATCACTTGCTAGAATAAAATGTGATACAAACAAATTTATGTGTATGTTGTGGAAAACGTTCTAGTTTTTCGACATAAAATTATATAAAATATTATACTAATGCAATTTAGTTATTAAATATGAAATCAGACTTGTCCTTACTCATTTATTTAACATCATTTTCTACAATAAATTGAACGATCAAAACAATTCCATAAATCTACGTCTTAAAACGTATTTGTAACCATGAACTTTGTAAGTATATTACAGTCATTTTATATTTATATTTTGCATGCCTAAACATTTCAACGTGGTAGTGGTCAAATTTGTAACATTAATGTAATATAATTGCTGTAGTAGTTGTATTGTGTGATACTATTCTTATGTAAAAACAGATGTACCACCATTTCCATTTGTTCAAGTCAATAATTTCAGTGTATGAATTTTACTGAAATAATCCTAATCTATGTAATGATATGCATCAAGCAATTTTTTAGATGAAACATGTCCACGAGTGAATCAATATAAAAATATTCTTTCTATGCTCTATCAGCTTTAAGTTCAATGACTTCATTATTCATTGGTTTCATTGAATTTCATTTATAATTTATTGTCTGGATTACTTTATGCGGAGGATTGTCCTTCTAGGAATTCGGATTCTATGTTTTAGAATAAAATTTATGGTCAACTTGGGGTACAACATTTGAGGTAATTTAAGGTATTTTTTATCAGCAAAAATTTCTTTAAATTTATCAATATATCACTATACGATAATCAATTTAGCTGAGCATAATTCGAAAGTGTGTAATAGTTTCTTCAGTTATAGTTAGATGCAAATCGATGAAAAATGACAAACAGTATTATAAATAGTAGAGATTACAAGTTAATGTATAATGTATATAATAAAACTGCAAATTTTTAATCATCACATGTTAAAAACATGTGGAAGCACTTAGACGGTATTTACAAATTTTATCGAAACAACAAAATTCCATACTTAATGATGCATACTTTTCCCTGCTTGTTTTTATACTGAAAAAATGTCATACATGTTTATATATATGTATATATGGTAGTACATAGCAAAATTTATTAAAAGTATGTATGTTCAAATTGATCTTTAGATTAATTATTATCTAAATAGAAATTCGTAATAACCGTTAATATACAAATAAAATAGTATACATCATTTACAACCTATTTAAAAATTAAATTTTTGTTGTTCACTGAACGTAAAATACATCGTATTTTACAGATTCCAGACGAAGTTTTAGAATATATATATATGCAAACGTATACAATATTCTTCATAAATATACAGAAAATATTTAGAGAGATTCTTATTGAGCTTGTTATTTTATACAGTGTAATACTATTATAGTACTTTGTTATTACACTGCTTTAGTTTCTTTTAATGCATAGTGCAATAAGTAAAATAAAAATACGTAGTAAACATATAATACTAAATGTTATAAAAGTGCTTTTAAATGCAAAAAAGTGTAACAATTACAAAAGTGTGTAAGGTAATACTTCTCATTACTGAAATAAAGATGTTATTGTCTTGATCTATATTGAGCCTAGTGCTGATCAGATCAATTTGAAATGTCTCACAAAATTATATGTTACTTAATAAAATAATTATCTAATATTTTTTATAATAGTGAGCGTTAGTTGTAAATAGTACAAAGAAAAATTATATAAAACACGTAAAACACAAAAATTTGTATTGAATAATAACATTTGTAAAAATAACATAATACTTAATAAAAGAAGGCAACCGTATAAATTATAAGAAAACAATATACATTGTCAACCATTAAATGATCGCCGTAAAACCTGCATGTAGTTGTAGTATAACGTGATCCAATGTACTTTTCAACTGCATATGTCTTTTGACAATAATTAAAACAGTTATTTGTTACAAGTTATCCACTATAGTTACTAAGCTCTTAACAAAAAAGTAATTTAAAACGTTCATCATTCAAAAACTGTGTACAATTCAGCTTTGAATTTGTTAAGTTGTTAGTTTGAAGTGTTAACGAACCACAGTCTTATTTATAAATTTGGTCTATGTAAGTAACAATTATTAAACGTATAAATCTTGTCATGTGCTTATTTTAGCGGCTTTTGAACTAAGTTATATGCATGTGAAAAACCTAGCAATAGGTGATTATTAAGGCTTATTGGTCCAATTTAATAGCAATAGTTTGGGGCAGTGATTAAATATCAGTATTATTAATATGAATTTGAAACAATAATAAATTTCTATTTTTGTTTCAAACTTTGAACAGCTCATTATGAGATATTAAATTGTTTTCGATAATACCAACTTGAATATTTTTACAGATGTTTTTCAATCTTTATATTATTTTTTTTAAATAGAATTAAATATTGTATATTTCAATTCGAAAATAATAAATTACATATTTAAATTTGACTAAATGAAATTACGTTGTAATTAAATAAAATTTATTTGCTTTTTGTCTATTTACGTGTTAAAAGTCTATTCAGATTCGTTTGTTACGTTAAAAAGAATAATTTAAAAAATTATAATATACTTTTCATTAATGACTTCCAATTTCATTCTTTTTGTATACTCCTCCTTTTCATTCTTTTAGTTAGTGAACGTTGTTAAATATGCATTAGTACCTTATCATTCAACATTATATATATTAAGCTAATCCAAACGATAAATTTTGTACCAAGCTGGGCATAATCATAGAAAACAATATTCCAGCACAAATTCCTGTAATCAATGATGCTGCTCCAAACATACCAGCTGTTGCTGTGTATTGAGAATCAACCATTCTGAAATTACAAAATGCAGCATCCAATATTTTTTAGTTTCACGAAATAGAGATATACAATTTTCTTTACCATTAATAAAATCTTACCTAGGACCATACATCATAGATAACGATGAAAAATAACCGCTGCTTAGACCCATAGTAACAGCTATCACGAAGTAAACCCAGTCATTATTAATGTACACTGGTAACACTCTTTCAATATCAGAACTTGGTTGATAATTACATAATAAAAATAATGGTATGTACAAAACGCGTAAAACAACTGGGATCATCAAGTACTTTTCACTAGGCTGTGCGAAGAATAGAAAATTAATTTTTATGTCTAATATTTCATGCATCTATAAATGAAGCAATACTCACCCACTGAATTAACGGTGCTAAAGAACTGCCAATTAGAGCAGTAATATTAAATGTGAGGAAACACATAACATTAACGTAATAATCTAGTGGAACTATGAAGTTGGGATCCGAGCGCCGTATATCAGATTGAACAGCAGGAAACAAAGAAAGGGTCACGAAAAATACAAAAAATGTGTTAAAACACTGGGGAAAACATTGTTTAAATATTTTCCAATACGGTGGCCTGTCAGTGTTGCCTCTTGCATTATTTTCCAATTGTCTCTTATTTACTCCCTTCTGATATAACAATTCACTGTACCGATAAAATCTCTATAAATCATAATAAAAATTAATAATAGATAATACCCATTAATACTAAAACTAAATATTAAAGAAGCAATAAAGCTTACATTTATCGGTAGAGCGAAATAAGTGTCAAAACATGCAAGAAGAACAAACAGAGCTGTTATGAAATAATATATCGCTGCAGTCCGAGTATTTGGTGCCATATATTGAGCAAGAAAATTAATTATGGCTGTAAATGTTCCGCTTATATTCTGAAAATATCATGAAAATAAATATCTGTACATGTGCACGTTATGTAATATTTTTATTACAAGAGTGTAGGAGTTGGTGTTTACCGTGCCTAAGATAACAGCTCCTGTGTACCTTCCAGGTAACTTTGCGACCATACCAAACACAGAATTTTGGTAAATTCCATTAGCAACTGAAATATTTCCATAATTTAAAACAAGTATTATTTATGTATCTAATCATATAAAAATGTATTTAAAGAATATGTAATTCTTTCAAATTAGTTAAATTATTAGTTATTTATTTTTTATAAAAAGTATTATATAACTGATAGCCTGAACAAATTTTCAAGATATATAATTTTATCTTACTGTTTAATATAATAACAGACAATATGGTGATCCAGAAAAAAACACCCGGCCAACCAGAACTATTAGTCATTGCCAAAATAACTGTACATACAAATATTAAAACCTGTATGAAGATACCCCATACTATACGTGTTGTCAAGTTGCCACTAAAAGATTATCATAAAATGATTAATATAACATGATTAAGTTTTTTAGAGATATCAGTAGATAAAAAGTATCCTATGAAACATAAAATAAAAAATATTGGAAATATACATACCCAAGTTGTATAAATACATTTAACCAATTGAAGAGTAAATTTGGTGTTTGTGCTGCAAATTCTAAGTATGGGAGAAAATTTGTAGCATAATCTGTTTTCATCCCTGTATATTCCTTTGATAATTTATAATTAACAAAATACTAAAAAAGAAGAAAAGGACAATTACTTTAATTACAATAATACAGTATACATAGAATTTAATAGCATGTAATAAAAACATCATTTGAAGATTCATACATGTTTTGCAGTTATGAACATATTCCATGGCATCAACATACCAATTCCATGAAGTACCATTATACAGAATACTATGTTTAATCTGAAATAAATGTATATTTTATTACAGAAGTTAATTTCTTTACAGCAAATAACATCAAAATGAGGAAAATTTTTTACCTATCTTTAGCCGGATTTAATTCAAGATCCGCTTGATCCATTGTAACTCCTTTAAAATTCAATTCATCATCAGGTCTACCTGTTCCTTCCCAACCAGGGGAAAGACGTACAGGTTCAGTACCTACAATGAAAAATTTAGTTCTTCAGTGTAAGTTGTATGATGCACGTATAAATTTAATGCTATAGTAATAACAGTCATCTCGACAACACTTTAATAATGCCTGAATTTAAACCAATTTATTAATTTAGTGAATAAAGTACAAGCACTATATATGTATATATATATATATATGGTTTTATACTCGTATCTTAAATTTATGCAAGACAACCAAGAAATAATAATAGTTATAATGACATAAATATTATGTCTAATGTTAAAAACAAAAATCATTAATTACCGGTTTGAACGTGAATTTTAAAAGTATCATAAGAAGTACTAATGCAATCTGTGGAAAAGATATTCATACAAGATATTTATATTCCATTTTGGCCTGAATTATATTCCACTATATAGACAGAATATTATGCTGCAAGCATGTAATAGAATAACATGACACTGAACATTATTATATTATACAATTATAAACAATAATATTATAATATTATTATAATATTATTAATATTATAAACAATATACACATTTAACTATAATGACAATTTTAATTAATAGAATATGGTGAAAGTGGAAAATACCAATCTTTTTTAATATACATTTTTACTTTAAACCTTCTTATGTATTTATGTAATTGCACATATACTAAATGTCTCCGTACACATGGAAAATAACTAAAATTACATGTTTTGTTCATTTTTTTACCTTTATCTGCTACATACATTTTAATTAATTTTTCTTACATGTAAATCAAAAAGATAAGCACATGCATGAATAGATACTGTTATCTAAATAAGGGACGTTACAGACATTCATAAAATTATAATGTTGTGCACTTACAAATTGAAATTTTAAATTATGAAACATTAAAATACAAATAACATGCTATATTTGAGAAACATATTTTAAAACATTTTAATTTTTTAAAACTTGTGAAAGTAATACTTAACATTTCATAATACACGCTAAATCAAAACTAGTCTTCACAGAAATATATTTAAACAAAACACAAATGAATGTTATAACTTAAGTGCTTGGAAACTAATACTCAAAGTGCATTGTGCGACTCTTCAATAGTTAAAGGACCGGTTTGGTTGGCTATTCGTTAAAAAAAAAATAAAAAAAGTTTACTTCCAAGAAAGGTGGAACTGTTGGTATTTAAATTATACAAGTGAAGCTGAAGATACTGAGACTTGAGAATGTTAAGAAAGAAAGTAATTGTGAAAAGAAACGTTATACCTTTTGCGGGAACAATGCGTGTTCCATTTGAATCTTTTAGTAAAGTCTGTTCCTCGGGACCCACACCAAATTCCTTCTTTGTGTAACTGCCCGCCATTTTTCTACAGAGTTTTAAACTTAAATCAAATTAAGAGCTACGCAGTATAGAGGTTAATACATTTCACGTGTTATTCAAACGAAGGCGAACCGATGGCTGTTTTATCCGAATACCGTTTTTGTTTTATCAGTTGGACGGACGATGTTCGAAATTTGAATTATCAAGAGATTCGAGCGTGAGAGTTATTTAATTGGCATGTGGAGAATCTTTCCAGTTATTCGTCGATTTCCTCTTAGAAAGAAAACCTTTGTGAGATCTTTGGTATCACTGCATGATATGGTAGTTAAGGTGCTCCAGTTACGAACAGAACTGTTCCCCGACATGCATAACGTACCATGTTTTCAGCTTTATTTTTGTGTCTTGAGATAAGCAGGGTTAGAGTTCGACAAGTTAACTCCACGCTGTGCGGAAATTGACGAACTAGCCCGAACGGTTACGACACGCGCGTATACTTATCATATTTAAATTGAATTGCAGAAAAAATTTTGCATAATGAATATAACATACATTATGTATAATGAAACAATTATTACATAATCTTTTATCGATATATTTAATGCGTATCTTGCTGATGGTTTATATATTCAATTTAAGTTCTAATTTTGTAATATTCATATACTAAGGTCTAGATTAAAAGCTTTAGATGATCCAAACATTTAAGAGATTGCGGTGCTTACATATACGTATATATGTCTAATCCGAAATATAAATTTTAAAATAAAAATTTTATTTTCGAAATGCGATTTTAGAATTTCAGAAATTTAAGATTTTCAGATTTTGAAAATTCATAACTTTCCAACTTTACATGTGCTTATTTTGTTTAATTAAATTATCTCTTTATCAACCTAAGTAGAGAAAAATATACAGGTTAAATTTTATATAAAATTATTTGTATTTGTAAGTACAAGTTTATAATATTATAACTTCTTTAATATTTCTGACACATACTTTATAGTATGGCAGTCAAAGTATTTAAATTTTGTATTAACCCCATGTTTCAACTTGATAACGATTCTTATTTTCCAACTGTGTAACAAAATTTTCTGCTTCTTCTTCATTTAAACTGGCATGTTCTTTTATTAAGTTTACAAATTCTTTGCGAACACAATTTGGCATATCTTTAGAATTACCTGCTAAATAAATATTACCATCTTTGGTAAGAAATTCCCAGCATAACTGTTTTTGTTCATGTATGAGATGCTGTACGTATCTGAAATATATATTCGATGGTAAATTATAGAGAAGCATATATAATGATGAAATATAAATTTTATGATTTTATTCTTTATATCAACCTACATTTTATGGTCCTGGTCTCTAGAAAATGCACAAAATAATTTTAAATGGTTTTCTTGTGACAAATGTTCAAAATCGTTTTTACAATGGTAATCTTTCTCTTTGTTTCTGCAACCAAAAAATAGAATGCAATTACTTAAATCCTCGTCCAGTGTACATTTATCTAGTAAAACTGAACGAAATGGTGCAACTCCTGTTCCAGGTCCAATAAATATCATAGGTTTGCTGTATTCAAACTTAAATGTTCCTTTTCGTATCCAAAAAATTATTTTATCTTCTGCTACTAAATTTGCTAACCAATTGGAACACAATCCGTATCTTGGTTCTAACAATTTTGTCTTATATTTTACTACAGCTACTAAAAGATGGATCTCATTTTCAGTGACCTTTAAACTTGAAGCTATGCTAAAGGCACGAGGTTTGATAGGAGACATAATCTCAAATAGTAGTCTTGTATTTAATTGACTAGTTGTATGAGGAAAATCTGCTAATAATTCTAAAATATTTCTTCTTGGCCTATTAATGTAATTATATAGCTCTTCTTGGCCACCTGCAGTTGTAAATTCATGCAGCTTCTCCTTCTCTAATTCATTTTTGCTAATTTGAGACAATACTTGCATTGTAGATCTTCTTGGTTTAAAATTTAAATCCCAATATTGTTCTACAATTTGACGCAATGTTAGAGTTTGTTTTAGAACAGTAGGTACTTTTATTTCTTTTTCAGATACTTGAATTATCATATCTGGATCCATTTGTACATTATTATCATTTAATATACTGAAGAACCTTTCAACTTGCTTCTTAGAATTCTTGGGTCGAACATACACTATATCCCCTGGATTGTAATCAATATTATCATCTGATTTAATTTTGATGAATCTGACATCTTGAAAATGATCTTTTGCAGTAGTTCTCATATTTTCAATTACTGTACCTATCCTCATTTCATTATTTGTAAGTGCCTCTTTCATATAAATATCAGTCTCTGAACAATATTCATTATTCATTGAATTCAAACCTATCTCAGAAACATTAAATCTTTCAATTAGTATATTTTGATCATCTATATGGTCTGTTACAGAAATATTAAATGTTTCTGCAATCTTTAGCCATAATTCCTGCTGCCAAGGTTCAACAATAGCATCCATCCCTAAATCATGCTGATCATCTGCTAATCCTATAGATAACAATTCTTTTGCACCTAATTGCATTAATCTTTTATTCAACTTTTTTGCTGCGAAATTAAATTTTTTGTATGAACTGTCCCCTAAACCTAGCACTCCATATTTCAAATTAGCAAGTAATGTTTTTGGCAAATTTTTTCGTAGTAAGAATCTCCAAAATGCCCTCATATTATCAGGTGGATCTCCTTGGCCTGTTGTAGAAACTACAAAAATCATTATTTTTTCTAAAATGAGATTATCAATGTCATAGTCATTCATTGCATGAACAGTGCTTTTCAACTCTTTCCTGAAATAAAAAACAGAAAAGGTTAAATAATGTGTAAATAATATTAAAAAATTTCATAATAGCACTCAGTCATTTAGAATTTCTTAACTATGGCATATTTTATAAACAATAACAACCTCTTGACACTTTTCCAAATTTGTTCAGCTACATCTTGTGCATTCCCAGTTTCGCTACCATATAATATTGTGATATTCATTTTAATGTATTCGATTGTGCAAGAATATAAAGTGGATATCTTATGAAAAAATTATATGGTATTTTAAAGTGCTTTTATTAATAGTAACTTTCAGCTGATACACTGTGATGTCACTGGCTACATAGTAGAGAATATCTGGAAAAATCATAATTTTTATGTGCAGGATAGGTAAAAGTTTTTAAAAGTAAAAACGCTTTTATACAAATATATTGAACAGAGTAAGTCTTACTCAATCAAATGTCAAGGATAGATGTCTAGGCTAGGTCCCATCTGGCACTTGGCCCAAGATATTTTTAAATAAAAAACAGTTTTCCATATACGTTGTTTGAAAAAACAATGCGATCGCGAACATTCTATACATCTTGATTATTCAAATAAAGCTTCATTTTCAATAAGATTCAAACTTTGACCAGTGTATTTCGGTCCCAAATATCAAAAGCAGTTGAACACTTTGCAATTGGTATTAAAGTGTCAAGGGCAAAAGAAAGAGAAGTTCACGGTGCATCTTAAAAACCGGAAGCGGACATGATACAATCAGGGTAACCATAACATGAAACGTTCATGATTATTCCAAACTTTCATGATAAGACTATTAGTGTCAGAATTCTAATTGTTATCAAGAACGAGTTAATTTAATGGAAATAAACAAGCCGTAGTTGTGCTGTTTATCAGAGCATCATATTATATATATAACTATTATTTATTTCATGAAAGATCATATTTATTAAACGACCAGTTCTTTAGCATTCTGCGCATGTCAGCTCTGATTGGTTAAAATGGACTTAGTAACCAGGAGCAACGTGCATGCGTATTTGGTGTTTTTGGACAACGAACGTATATACCTAGTGGTTTCTTCTTTACATGTCTTCTACTTTAAACATTTGCAAGCTGTTGTTTCCTAAGATTCTTCATATACTTTAAAATTTGATAAATCTTCAAAGTTATAAATTTCCAAAAATTTAAACGTAGACATTTTCGAATTATTAAACTAATTTCTCAAGTTACCAGATTCCCGTTTTCATTACTTGTATATTTTTCGTCCTCCGTGTATATAGCCAACGGAGTGGGAAGTATGGTAGTGGGGCAATGTTAATAGGTGGGGAAATTACCGAAGTTAGCTGATTTGCGCGAATCGAGTACGATCTCCTGTGAATGAATGACACAGAAAATGGCGACATTTTACAGATGAGAGGATGTTGGTAACACTGACGCCTGTTTGCGGATGATTGTCAAAACCTATTTTCTCAGCGAAGTCCGCAGCTTTGCGTGCAAGTTCGAGGGAAAACATCATGACTCCGTTTGATTCGTAAGAAAGGCAGAAGGCGCAAAGTGCAGCCACAAAGAAGATAGCGTGTTTGTTTTTAAGGAGTGAGTGAGTGTGCAGAGAAAGGTTTCTTGTTTCGTTTCGCTCGTTGCGTTTCACCCGTTCGACGAGTGACGTGCCTCGGGTCTTCCTCGGTGGGGAAGAAGATTACTTCGATTCCAAACGCGAGGAGAGAAGGCGCGGGCTTTCATCTTCGCGAAAAATCTATTATGCGATTGTGTTTTAACCTTTTCTCTTGTTGAATGCGATTAAAGTGGGCTGCCGTAGTGCCGTAGTGTGTGATACCTCTGATCCACGTCTGTCTTCGAGTCACTTTCGCAGCGGTCGACCGATACACATAGTACTTCGATGGAGTTTATTCGCGCGTGACACCAACTTTCGGGACACCAGGCTCGACTTTTGCCAGGTAGCCCCAATTTCGATTTACCACGTGTATAAGCTTTCTACTCCGTAAATAATATCTACGTTTCTTCTTGACGCGACGCTTATACGACATAAAAGCACCAGAGGTCAGTCACATTTTAAACTTCCAATTAGAGTTTACCGCGTTTTGCTTTTGAAACGCGTAATCTTGTCAAGGAGCTCGATATCGGGCTTCTTCGAAAAGTTCGTCCTCAGTGTCATTATTTTCTCATCCATGTAATCAGAATTTATTTACATTAAATTCAACGAGCTTCTTCTACTTCTGTAAATATAAATCTTTTGTTACAAGTGAATTAGTAAAGTTGATACTTATTTTTGGTTAAGAATATATATATATGTATTTATTTATGTTATGTGTTAGTTACATCTTTTCTTTTTTTCTTTACAGATTTTGGTAGCTGTCTACATTCACATTATTGTGACAGCTTTTATTTTCTTATATTCGATTAACATGTTTAATACGTGACATGTACACCTCATTCTGTGACAAGTATATAGTACTATCTATATCTATGGAAATTACTTTTGCACCATACGGTACGATAGAAACTATGCAAAATTTTGCTATTACTCACAATTTCAATCTATTGAATATTTAATATAATTTAAAGGCCAAGTCTATGCATTATAAATACATTTAAATACAATATCAACCTTACATTGTCTATGCATTAGAGACAATAGAACTTACGAGATAAAGGGCCATACAAAGAAAATGAGTAACAGGCTTGAAGAACAAGAATCAAAATGGACTTGTGAATATTGTACATATGAAAATTGGCCTTCATCTTTGAAATGCACAATGTGCAAAGGTGCCAAACCTTTACTAGGGGAAGATATTTACCGTCTAAGGGATCCAAGTCCACAAAGATCTGGATCAAATGTTGCATCTGGTCCAGTAACTCATTTAAGTCCAACGGATTCTTATAATCTTAGTTCTCAGAACTATAGTCAAAATGTACCATTGGGAAAGTGGTCTTGTGCAATGTGTACCTATCTCAATTATCAAAATGCCACACGTTGTGTTCAGTGTGGAAACAAAAAACCTAGTGGTCTTAATCAATCGATAAACTCTATAGCCTCAAATTTACATGAACATCTAGCACCCCTTAGGTTAGGGGATCCACCACCAAATTCAGGATCAAATCCTACTCCGATAAACTTGCATCCAGAAAAATATTACAATTTACAAGCTAATTTACATCCTGAAAAGTGGTCTTGTCTCGTGTGTACTTATGAAAATTGGCCAAAAGCTACAAAGTGTGTGATGTGCGGTAATCCCAAGGAAAAAGATAGGAGAGATAAAACTTCAACTAATGTGGGTGTTATTTTGCCAAGTCCTGAGAGGGATCATAGTCAACGCAATTTACCTTCCCCGCCTCATGCACCTTATATTCATCAAACTCAGAGAGAGGATAATGTGGCAGTAGGACGAAGGTAAATATTTTGTTTATTTCATCTACTGTAATTTTTATGACTACATCCTTATTTAGATATATTCTAAGTTTTCTTATATTGTAGGAGTTCAAATAGATATCCAGATAGCAGAAATGACAGTTTATCAACTCCTCAATCTCCTAATAATTGTGACTATGAACGTAGACTAAAACAGTTAAGGCGTCATACTGATTGGTGCTGGTTAAATGCGTGTCTTGGCATTGTGGAAGGTGATAATGCTCCTGTCGAAGCTTATTTGGCAAGTGGTGGTGATCCTGCTCGTCAATTGACACATTCAGAAGTTCTGCTTCTAAATAGAAGTAGTGCTTTTGATGTTGGACATACATTAGTACATTTAGCTATTAGGTTAGTGAGAAGTAATTTTTAACAAAGGATTTCTTTCAATCTATTTTAGCTGATTTTATATAATTGTATAAATGTATATATTTTTTGGCAATGTTTCAACTTGTGCGATACATATCTACAATAATAAATGAACTATCAACGAGTGAGATAATATCTTTGAACTGTTCCTTATTCAATTTGTCATGCTTTTGACAGATTTCAAAGGGAGGATATACTAGCAACATTATTATCACAAATTGAAGGCTCTGGCTCTGGAGTAAAAAGAGTACCAAGTTATGTTGCACCTGATTTGGCTGCTCAAATTCGCAGACATGTTACTAATAGTATCCGGTTGCGCAAGGGTTCTTTCCCATGTTATTTTGTCACTGATATAGCCACATTTGCTTTACCTGCTGAGGTTACTATAACATTACATTCTTTTTTTGGGGTTCTATGGGATGTTAGGGTTTATTAAAATTACTCATTCATAGATATATAATTTAAGTTACTTAAATATATTTATGTATAAAATACAAAATGAATTGTTAGGTTGAAGATTTACCGAGCATAGTACAAGAACAAATGTTGGAAGAATTATTAGATAAAGAAGCTCAACAGCAGTTAGAAGGTGGTGGCGGAGAGCCACCAGCATTAAATTGGTCTTTAGAAATTACTGAACGTTTAGGAAGTCGTTTACATGCACTTTGGAATAGATCTGCTGGAGATTGTTTATTAGATTCTGCAATGCAAGCTACTTGGGGTGTTTTCGATCGAGATAATGCTTTAAGAAGAGCTCTTGCTGATTCTTTGCAACAAGCTGGTCAATTGTAAGTAATTTTTTAATTCAATTACTGTTTATTTATTCAAAAACAAAACAATACGTTTCATATCAGACCATTATATTAATATTAATCAATTTTTAATATTACAGTTTTTATTCTCGATGGAGAGAATACGAAGCATCACAAGCATCTAGAATGTTAGATTTTACATTAGAAGAAACTCAGTGGCAAGAAGATTGGGAGAGCTTATTAGCGACAGCTGCTCAACCAGGAAGTGCTTTGGAACAATTACATGTATTTGCTCTTGCCCACATTTTGAGACGACCTATTATTGTTTATGGAGTAAAATATGTTAAAAGTTTTCGTGGTGAAGATATAGGTATGTGTTATTTATACAGAAAATAAGTTTTAGCATTATATTAAAATATGTATGCATAACTAAATATTCTCATATAGGTTACGCAAGATTTGAGGGTGTTTACCTTCCACTTCTATGGGAACCTTCATTTTGTATTCGATCGCCTATTGCTTTGGGATATACTCGTGGCCACTTTACAGCTTTAGTTCCCATTGAACCTTATGCATCGTCCAGAATACCACCTCTTTCATCCCATGGTGGTGTGGGCATAGGTGGTGGTAATAGTCCACTTCAACAGTTACAAATACAAATGCAGACCACGTTTATGCCGCTAATGGACCGAGAACACAAGCTTTTGCCAATACATTTTTTGAGCCCGGAAGAAGTAGGCCGGGAAGAATCTATTTTGAAGGAATGGCTCGACGTGTGTAGGACGGAAGGTGGTATTCTCGTTGCGCAACAAAAATTACATAAAAGACCTTTATTAGTAGCACAAATGTTGGAAGAATGGTTAAATCATTATCGAAGACTCGCGTAAGTGATACGACATTATTTTTGGACTATAGTTTCTTACTGGCAAGTACTTGAATTCAATCTTCTATGGTCATTACAGTCAAACCAACAATGCACCCTTTTTGAGACCAGCTATTTTACAAGATTACAGTAGTGACGGCGACACGGAAGACGAATAACGAGGTGCAATTGATTAAATTACTAAATTCATCCGAGAAGACTTTTCTCCATAATTTTCTTACAACCGTTCGGAACACGATATCTCAAAGATTCGCAATTTTTGGATAATAGTCAGGAAAAAGAAGCGTGCGGATGTTACACACATCTATTGGCAATGCATTATTTCTGGACGATTTTTGTGCATCTAATATTGAAACTACTTCTTTCGGTTTAAAAGAAGTAAATTTAAAATCTTTGTTCGATTCGTACTATTAATTATAGCGAATGTTTATTTTTATAAATATTTTCTACATTCATTTATTATCATTTATTGGTATAATCATGGGGCTATGAAATTATTAAAGTTAACGAATATAGAATTTCGTTACGGTAAATAGCGCACTATTTTCAATTAATTTCTTTTTTAAATCATTTTCGCTGTAAAAACATTATATTGCAGAGAATATGTAATTAATTTTTTAATTCGTTTATAATGGAAAAGTTATTAAATATTGTTGAAAATATGGTATGAATCATTGTTACTGTTGGACTTGAAATCTACAACGCTGAAGAAAAATTCAGACTTAACGAAACAAAGTCCGTGTAAGGAATCATTGGCAATTGAATTTGTTTCATTGAATCGCAATACGAAGATTTAAACAAATTACATCATTATAAGAAGAAGAAATTAAGGACAAAAGGATTCTCGTTTATTAGTTGTGAAAAAAGATATTTGCTCGACAAGAGTATAAATTCTAAGAAGATTTCTAGGACGGTCAGTCGTACTCTTTGTCTGGTACAGATAATGTGATTTTTAAAGTTAAGTAATTAAGGGTCAGGAAAGATTCCGTTAATCGTTTTTTGGAACACTTGTTAATCTGCTATCAATTAGCGTAAAGTGAGACCCGGACGAAGCTGAATTACAACGATACTTTTCTCTGACACAACAGGTGAAGCGTGTTTTTGTTCTTTCTGTGACCGCTTCCGATGTGCGTTAATGTTAACAAAGTACTGAATGTACTTTACTCCGCGTGACGAGAAAGTGAACGCATCTATAATGGAGTCTCGCTATATGGCCCTGGATTGGGGTTGTAGGAATATTGTGAAATGGGCCATATTAGTGAAACTACTATAGTCCTGTGCTTCATTGCTAAAGTTCTGCCACTAGTGATTCAAGCTATACTAAATTTTTAAATTCGAAAATTTCTATATTCTTAAATTCTCAAATTTCTAAATTTCCAAATTTCTCACCTCTAAATTCCCAAATTTCTAAATTTCTAACTTCTAAATCTTTAAATTTGAAAATTTGAGAATTTCTAAATTTGAATTTGAAAATTAAAAGTATATAGGAGTAACACTAATGTGCATGAAAGTTCACGTAAACGGAACGGCTATATAAATAAGTGCCATATAACGAGCCTCCACTGTATATGCATATATATACATATATATATAAAGAAAAGCAAAACTGTGCGAATGGATGAATCGTACACACGTTGTGTGTAATCATTGCTGCGAACGTATATAGGAGGTAAAATAGAACTTTTATAAAAAGAAAGCGAATACGAGAGAACAAAGAAACAAGAAGTATGTAGTAGTACAGTTTTAAGCACCAACAAAGAGAGATACGCCTATTATAGTGAAAGAACGTATTCGCGAATGGACAAAGATTTAATGGTAACTAGCTCGGCCAAATAATGAACCCTAATCAAAAAAGTACAAAAAATCGTAAGAGGGAAATATAACGTTTCTTTTTAACGAGAACGCGTTATTACTATACATGGGTATCGCTTAACGTTTAGTCTTCGTTTTGACTAACTCTAACATAGTTCTCTAGTCCTTTTTAGCACCATCGTTTTTTCTTTTCGTTTTTTTCTTTGTTTTTTCTTTTTTTCTAACCAGCAACGCATATGTGATTCAAAGGCTCGACAATGTTTAAAGTCAATTCCAAAATATTTCACGATACAACGCCGTGTCGTAAAAATGTCACAGCATCCGGGCTCTTTTGCTGGATTTTATGCATTGGCGTAACTAGATTCAAGGGTAGACTAAATTATAGAATTCCTGGATTTTTAAGTACAATTGCCAGATATTCAGGTTTTTAAATTCCTAAATTTTTCATTTATTACAGTTTCAAATTAAAAAAGTTTCAAACTTCCAAATTTTTTCAAAGATCTCCAAACATCTTGATTTAAAAATCCTACAATTTCTGAAAACCGAATATAACTTTCCAAATTTTGAAATTCTTAAATCTCAAGCTTCAAAAGTCTATATATAGAATTCACACATTTTTAATAACTTAGAGATTTTATCTCATCTTAGGAAATTCTAGTTATGCCAATGAGTGTATGTACATACCTTCTCTTGTTTTTTCTTCTTTCTTTTATACTTGTGTTACCGTTGTTACAGAGAATTGTAGTTTTAATGTATAGCTGTTTTTTTTTTGTTCCCCCTGAAAAATTTCTCTCGATACTTTAGCGTTCTCGGGACACGGCGAAATAATCTGTAAAAAAGAAAAAAGAAAAAAAAGTGTAACGACGCTCTGTGGTGGTGTATTTTCTTTTTTCCCCTTGTTAATGTAAGTGTTTCTCGCTCGTGTTGCCAGGATTTTACTCGGCAGGTGATAAAACAAATGAAAAATAAAAAAGATATAAAGATTTAAGAATTTAAATTGAATCAGATAGAAATCTATATTAATATAGAATATATGAAATAGATTATATTAAATAATATATCGATGTACAATAATTCTAAATGACGGTTTATTATTATTATTATAATTACTATGATTATTATTATATTATATTATATTGTATATTATATTATTATTATCATCAACATTATTAAATCCATAATAAGAAGTATCGTGGTAAATTAATTAGATTTTAATTTTTAATCCTCACGAATCGCTCGTGAAAATGCAAATTATTAAATTATTAAATTATTTCTTTCGAGATTGACCCTTTGACGCAGGAGCGCGAAATTTAATTTAGAGAAACTTAAATATTATTTAAACCAGTGTTGAAATCGATATTATTTTTCAGTATTATTGAACGCCATGTTGTATCTGATTCTTATATCGCACTGATGATTGAGGCAATTGGCAATATAGTCAGAGGTTCGTTTATGGAGCATCAATTTGACAATTCTTGAATTTGCAAATTTAAAAATTTCTACACTTGAGATTTTTTTATTAAAAAATTTAAAAGTTAAATTTTAAGCGATTTTTCTAAATCTGCGTTCGGGGATCAATCCACGTATCGACACGAAATCGAATAATTTCTAATTTTGTATCTCGACATTTTGTTTCCAAAAATACAGTACATTGTATGAAATTCGTTTTTCAATATTACCAATCGATATCACCGTTGCGTGTGTGTCAATTGAACAGTAAAGTCTTTTCTTGGTGCTTCACGTCAAATCACAATCGTTCTATCCATGATACGTAATTCGATGTAATCTAATCCCTGACACTTACGTAAGTCAATCAAAGGCTTACGTATGCATACCAGGGCCGGTGTTAATTGTGCGAAATGTGTAGACTATTCTACATGTAACACTTGATTGTGCATAAAATTTCTCGCTTAGAATTTTGAACATTTCTTGATCTGAAAATTTGTGAATTTTAGAAACTTGTAATTACGGTGTTAAATTTGTACATTTGAAATTGAATTTTCCTGCAAATAATTTGATCTTATGAATTTGACTGTGTGTGAGATTTCTCACTTAGAATTTTGAAATTTTCTTAATTTAAAACTTTGTAAATCCGAATTTTAGAAATTTGTAATTACGGTGTTAGTACATTTGAAATTGAATTTTCCTGCAAATAATTTGATCTTATGAATTTGACTATGTGTGAGATTTCTCACTTAGAATTTTGAAAATTTCTTGATCTAAAAATTTGTAAATCCGTATTTTAGAAATTTGTAATTACGGTGTTAAATTTATACATTTGAAATTGAGTTTCCCTGCAAATAATTTAGTCTTATAAACCTGACTGTGTGTTTATAATTTCGCGTTTTGAAAATTTGAAAATTTAAAACTGAATTTTGTCCCAAATTATATGGTTCCTTAAATTTATAACAATATACATTAAAAGCGCTGTTTCTGCAGCAAGTGTAGAAAGCTCATTAGTATCTCCCTGAACCCGCAGCAAGAATTCTAGCGCGAACTCGATAGACTTTCGCGGTCGGTGTGAAATTAATGGGTGAACTTTTGCAACGAAAATTTCGTCGTTGAGTCTGTTATCAGCGATGCAGGAAAGTGGGCCGAGGGCAAGGGGTTAATTATCGTGCTAATTGAACAATCTCGAACGCCTTCGATCGACAGCCTCGTGGAGGAAACAGCATCGCCGCCAAATGTTAAAGAATTCTCGCGCGAATCGAGAAAACAGTTTGAATTATTCTATCAGGGGTGAACCGGAGGACCACTCGGAGAATTGGGTCGCACGGTGGTGAACGATGGGCCATCATTAAAAGCGACAGTAATTACAAGAGTCTCCTCGAGAGACACTCGGGATTAGAGAACAGCGATCGAGAAGTGGACCTGGTGAAAGATCAACTTGCTCAAGTATTCGTAATTGTAGTCTTTGTTCGGGTGGTTATATCAAAACTGCGTGACTTGAATCCATAAAGACCGTTTCTCTAATTCATATGTGAAAGTATTTAACATAAAATAAATATTTAACAGGCAACAAACGATGTAAAATATAAACGAACCTCACAGAGTACGTGTACAGTCGTGGGATTTGAATATGTATAATCAGGTCCAAGTCCTATGAGTGACCCATAAATACTGGTTTTAACACATAATCTATGGTTCCATATTAAATTTCATTAATTCGAGTACGAATGACCCTTAGTTTTAAATATTATAGTTGACCTACACCTCAATTTTAAAATCTAGGAGTGATCTACGTTTTTATTTTAAAACCTATGAGGATCCATATATCGATTATAAATTGTACGCGTGTTCTTCGTTTCAGCTTTAAAGTGACAGAGTGACCCACGTATGAATGTTTATGCCTCAATTGTAATTCTCCTTGAGTAACCCACGCATTATTTCCAAAATTTTGGGTGTGACTCATGTTCAAATATTGCCTTATTTAAATGACCCACGGTTCAGTACCAAATTTTCTGGTTGTTCACCTCATAATTCCAAATTAAAATAATGATCTAGCTCCAATATTAGACAACAACGATGACCCACGCGCCGATTTTAAATTTTTAGTGAAATTGCATAGATGACCTACGTTTCCATTCTAAATTACATGAGTGGTATCTTGTTTCAGTTT